AGCTGAAGATGTGGTCGATGCAGCCACGACCTCGACGAAATCCAGCTTGCTCTTCACGAATCTGACTTTCACGAGTGCCAGTCAGTCTGTGGAGAATGATAGAGGCAAGCAATTTAGAGGCAATCGAAATCAGACTGATCCCTCTATGACTGCCGCATTCTAAACGGGAGCCTCCCTTGAAAATTGGGACAATGACGGAGCGGTTCCAGTCTGTCGGGACTGTCTCTTGCTCCCAAAGTTTTACTAGCAACTCGTGTAGATCATCTACTAGAGCAGGTCCCCCGAATTTGAAGAGGGCTGGGGGAATTCTATTTGCCCCTGCGGCCTTATGCAATTTCAACAGCCTGATCTCACGTTCGACTTCTGCGCGTGAGGGCGGATCCAAGAAGACGGCCCAAGGAGAAGGGCGCTCAATGCCCGAAGAAGAAAGCGATAACTCAGGTTGGTTAGATTGCCTAGCAAAGTGTTCAGCCCAACGCTCCAAGCGTTTTGACAGGCTGTGGATCGGTTGCCCACTCTCGTCGCGTATGGTCTCGCTAACACCAGGTCTCCTGATGTCTGTTTCCCGTACCAGACAGAATAACTTACGGTGATTACCAACGGCAGCAGCTGTTTCCATCTCAGAGGCACGATGAGACCACCAGGTTTCGCGGTCCTTCCTTAGGCTAGCAAGTAGTTTTGCCCTGAGATTTTTGCGAGTCTCATTGTATTCGCTTCCAGCCGGAATATGTCGGCGAGCATCCATAAGTTCCAGAGACTGTGTAGAGACCCAATGTCCGGTTTGGCAATTTGCTTTGCCACATGAAGACATGCCTGCTAACAGCAACGCTTGACGGATTTGCGACCAGTGATCTTCAACGGTGTTTAGTGGGCGCTTACTCAGCCCAGATGTCAGCGCACTTTGGCACACATTCAGAACATCTGGCTTCGCCAGCTGGCTGGTGTCAATCTGTTCACATCGACGTTGCGGACGTCCACCGAAACGCACCAGGAGGTCGGCACAGACAAGTGCGTGGTCAGAGTCCACGCTCGTGCTCCAAATCGAGCGACAGTTTTGGACACAGCCTATTCAGCGGTAACTGATCGCGATATGATCGATTTGCGTCCATGGCTGGCCCGAGGCTGGTGGCCGCCAAGTCACACTTCTTCGGGTGCTGTGTCGAAAGTTAGTGCTCGCGAGAAAGAGGCGAGCATCTTCACACAGCTGTAGCAATCGCTCACCATTATCATTACGGGGGCGTACACCATGTTGGCCGCCCAGATGAAGCTCATCAAAGGACAATTTTCCGACTTGGGCGTTTAGATCGCCAGCCAACACCACAGTATCCGTGCTTCTTCTGTAACGAAGGAGCTCGTGAAGTTACTGATAGAAATCATCTTTTACCGAATCAGTGCTACAGTTTGTAGGGGCATAGGCCGCAATGACAAACAGGCACCGTTTGTCCCCGCGCGACTTCGTAGCACGGAACGAACCAGCTAATCTGGCGGCGCACATCCTACTGTTTACTGGGATCCAATCAACCAGGGCAGCTTCAGCCCGGGGACTCAAAACAATGCCGACGCCAGCTTGACCGGCATTTGAAGCTGCATCATCGCCAGACAAGCGCAATGAGAATGTGCCGCCAGTGTCGCATGTGGGGTATCGCAGGGTAAGCATGATGCACGAACCTTGCATGCGGGTTTCCGATAAACAGCAAATATCGATCGATAGGGTCTCTAGTGTGCGGGCAAGTGCTGCCTGTTGGCCAATCTGCAGCAAAGTACGCACGTTGAGGCATGCCAGTCTTAGCGAGACACGAGGACTCCAAAGGGAAACGGATGAACTGACGTTGTCCGCTTGGTTGAACATGGACTTGTCGACTGGATTGGAGCGAGGCCCTGCGACTGTGTGTGATTTGAAATTAGAAGACAAGCGACTATTGAAGTAAGCCGGAGAAGGGCCAGGAATTGGGGGATTGAAAATGAGGGGATATAAGTAAAGTTGGAGCGGGACGATAAGGATGAAGAAGCGCAAGAAGGGATATAAGAAGATGGGAAGGTTTGAGCAGTAGCATCCATACCCCTATCTACTCTGCTCGATGCAGCAGATAGGGCGCCGTTTATTATCCTCTGCGACGGCCAGAGCATCAAGAAATTGTTGTAGGAAAGGTTCATTGTATTGCGTGGGCAGAATACTGTCAGGTTGCCCAGGCCTAGACAGGAGAACGATTAGGGTTCTCAACCAAAGTCTTTGGTTCAAAAACCTTACCGCAAGGCAGCGGGTTTTGGTACTGGACTACAGAGCCCGTTTTATGAAATGAGGAGCCACCCCCATTCCAACCCCCAACCTGGAGGACCAGGAGGCTGAGTTTATCTGGCCTCTAACCATTGACCAATCTGGTATGAGTGGCTCTGAAGGTGCAAAAAAAGCACCACCCAGCATAGCTCAGTGGATCTCTGAGGCACGCAAACCATCGCATCACGGTAAGGTCCAGCCTTATTGCGATGGAGTCCAGCCTCATTGCGGTGCCAAGTCTTCCTTCTTCGTTGGATCATGTAGAAATGAGCGCTGATGTCGTTGCCAAAGGCATTCGTGCATTAGATCCGAACTTCTCGCCGGGTCCTGATGGGTTGGATCCGCTGTTCTTCAAGACTGTGGCCGATTACATTGTCGCTCCTGTTTGCCGGGTATTTCACCATTCCCTTGAAATTGGACGGCTCCCGATTGCTTGGAAAGTGGGGATTGTTAAACCCATACACAAAGGAGGGGATTGCCAAAATTCTGCCAATTATCGACCCATCTGCTTAACGCCAATATTGTGCAAGGTAATGGAGAGAATTGTCGAACGGGCACTTCACCTCGAGAACCTAAACATCAGCTCTTGTGCGAAGCATGGTTTTCGGCAAGCACGCTCAAGTACTTCGAATCTGCTTGTGGTCGTTTGAAAGATGGGCGAAATCATTAGACGCTGAGGCACGTCTGGATGTTATTTTTGTCGACTTCAGCAAGGCCTTTGATAAAGGTTCCTCATGAAAGGCTCCTTTATAAACTACGAGAAATAGGTGTTTCTGGGAACGTTCTCTCTTGGATCGCTGATTTTTTGGATGCCCGGACAATGCGATTCGACGTGAACGAGACTTACTCCGCTTCTGTGCTCATGACTAGCGGTGTCCCACAGGGATCGGTCCTAGGCCCAGAACTTTTCAAGATCTTCATCAATGACCTCCCGGCGGAACTTCAGTTGGATTGCTTGATTTACTCTGACGACTTGAAGTTGTGGATGGAGGTATCCTGTCTTGGCGATGCGGACCGATTACAGGCTACACTTGATACGTTACATGAGTGGTCAGTCAAATGGCGATTGCCCATAAATCGCGATAAATGCTCGGTCCTCCCCATTGGTGCTCCTGAGCCTTTTGGGACGTACCACATCGGTGGGGCGTTGCTCAGAACTTCAATCCTTGAAAATGACCTCGGCGTATTGGTGTCATCTGATCTACGGGCTTCACAGGACACGTTACGAACGGTTGCTGCTGCCAACAGGATGTCCCATGTCATACGAAGAGCTTTTTCACGTTTGATTCCGGATATCTGCAGACTGTTGTTTACTTTCCATGTCCGCCCCATTCTCGAATACGGATTACCTGCCATCTTCCCTCTCACTAAGTTCGAATGCGACCTCATTGAGAAGGTCCAACGGCGGGGATCGAAATACATCTTGGAGGTACGGGATTTGCCCTATCCCCTGAGACTTCAGCGTATGAACCTGTTCTCCCTGGATTATCGCCGACGTCGCAGTGACCTGATTTTCATTAGGGCATCCTGAGAGAAGAGATGAGGGCAGAGCTGCAGGCGTGCTTTCAATTCAATGAAAACAGTTCAACTCGAGACCAAAAGTGGAAACTGTTTAAACCCAAAAGGCTCCGGGTTCATCCTGCTCTCGCTCTATCAACTCGCGTAGTCAACGATTGGAACGAGTTACCGAAGCATGTGGTCGATGCCCAGACTGAGGAATGTTTCAAGCGAATGTTAGATTCTTATCTTTTGAGTACGATGGGCCCTTGCAGCTTCCACTGTAGCTGTCACGGTCCCTTGTGGATTACCGCATAACATCGAATCGCGGCCTCTACACAGTGATCGGGAAGTGATGGAGCTGACAAAGGATTTCTCCTTTTGCTCTCTACAATCCTATGATACTATGAGATCCGCACTCTGCCGGATGTATGTAAAGTGTTCGTAAGATGGCGGTGTTTCTCTGGCAGCCCCTTCTTTAGCAAGCAACGCCGTAAAGCAGGTCGATCAACGGAGTCAAAAGCGGCACGGTAGTGGGCCTATGATAAATGTGGCGATGTTCGAGAAGCTGGCAGAGCGCGAATATTTGATCCACGCATCCACGGCCGGGATGGAAACCAGCTTGTTCTTCACGGTGGGATGATTCACGTAGTGGGGATAGTCTAGGGAGCAGAATAAATACCAATAGCTTGGAAGCAACCTAAATAAGATTAATCCCCCGATGATTTGCACATGAAGTGTGAGCGCCTTTTTTGAAAATCGGGACAATAACAGATTCTCCCCAAGAGGAAGGCACTTTCTCTTCATGCCAAATTTTTGCGAACAGCGAGGTCAGGTGGTTGATGACCGCCACATCGCCGTACATGAACAGCTCCGGAGTCCGTCTGAGCCGGCAGGCTTGAACCGCTTCAAGTGTCGGATCTAGTGACAGACTTCAGGGTGTATCATGAACACAGAATAATCTGGCGCGAACAAAAGAATTGATGAAAAGGGGCAACAAATAATCAGTGACAATTTAGGAGCAATGACAAGGCTTAAGGTAAGAATGACTGGGGTGCCAGTGGGTTGAACAGTCGCGCTATTAAACGCCGAAAACGATAAGACCTTGTGATGGAACTAAAACATTGAAGCACTAAGCGAGGAACATAAGATGCGAAAACCGGATAATGAATATAGCTTAAAAAACGACAATAAGCATACACAGGCAAAACACGATAAAGATAGCAACCTGATGCAATCAGAACTGCAATTACAGATGGGATGGGGGAAAATTCCGGATTTCTTTGAGGAACTAATCGGAACGAACAGTAAGGAATTAACACGATGAAATATACAATAAAAATACAAAACCAAACACAGTATTTCATACGACTAAACACAATGAAATAATATGACTAGCCTTGCGATACCTACCCTAGGTGCTAGTTGATGGAGCATCTCGGTAAGCCCTTCAGCACCTAGAACGCTTCTGCAGCAATACAAAACAACTTTGACTAACCTTGGTATGTAGGCAGAGACGTCTCATGCCAAAATGATAAGACATATTATTATAAGCTTAACACTTAAGGCAAATGAAAAGCTAAAAGTGACGAAACGAGGCGGGCACACAGCTTTTTATGACTAGATTTGGGACGAGTCACAATTGCTTATAGATCAAGCGGCTCAGGAAACGGCCCAGGCCAACAGTGTAAGGAATCTAGGTTTTCCTGTCAGAACACAGGACAGCATGCAGAGACGAAATAAGCTTTCGCTTAACAATCGTCTCTTTTCGTGTGCCTGAAAGCGAGAAATGCACCCAGCACTACAACGTGATAATATATGCCTGTAAACAATAGAAAAAAATGCAAAAGGAAGCAGCAAGAGCAAAAAGCCACAGCTTTTTATGTATTTGCGTGGGCAACTAGCAGAGGGACATAAGCACAAGAATTCGTGGATCAGGGCTAACCATATTACGTCCAGACCATTTTTGAAGTCCTCTACCTCTTTCTTTCCAATGGTGCAGAAGTTTGTTCCAACTACATTTGCCTATAGTACCTATATGCACTACAAGCGTGGAACACTTAACTCTAATATCAAGCCTAAATCTGCCGTTTCCAATTAAACTATGGTCCCGAAATTGGTCCTATATAACTGGTTCAAACAGATCGGTTGGCCTGAGGCCGTTGAGACCATGAGCCAAATGTCTCTCGAGTCCCCCAGCAATCAACGGCAGCACATTAGCAGCAGACATAGCAGGGTAAGTTAGCGACTGCGATGTATGTTGCTTGGTTGGACGGGAGTGTGGCGAGTGACAGCTAGACTCTGACCTTCGAGTCTGGTTTACCTCTAAACCGGTGTTTTAGTGCGCTAAACGCCATAGCAACTGCTTGCCAAGGCTTCCAATGGACATAAATACGGTTAATGAAATGCTGCATAATCGGTAAATAAATTGGACAATACAATATTAACTCCCGGATGTCCAATATTGCATAGTACGTATATTTTAACGCTGGCAGTCTAACATTGGTCTTCTGTTTCATCGATGCTGTAGGTAACTAAGTAGCAGTCTGGAAACTCCGTTTGAGACTGAATTTCTACAACTTGGACCTTGAGAACGATTTTTTGTGCCAAAGCCGTCGGCACCAGCGTCCGTTAATAGTCCGTCGGGCATCCTTTAAGCGTCCTGTCTACGCCTTGAATAGTCACCTTAGGACGCAAATATGACATAGACAAATTATTCAGCAAAACGATTTTAAAATGCATGCGAATTGGTGCCAAATCAATCAGCTGTGTCTGCTAGGTTGCACAAGTGCCAATCCTCAACTTGCGTTACTATGCGCCTAAATAAATAAATATCTTATTATCCACTATGCGAGTCATAGTAACGACGGTGAAACAACGTAGCGGAGCGTCGGCTCCGCCAATTGCGATCAATAATCTTTTGGCCGTGTGACTGTGGTTCATAAGGTTGTATGTTGATAAATGAAATTGTTGGGCCTTCCGGCCCACGTGTGTGTTCATTTTTACTTTAACGTTCTTGTTACTATGCTAAGAGGTGGATTCGAAATCAATAAAGAGACCGTTTTAATGGGCCACGGTGTTTAATCATTTTTCCGCTTCTAGCGAAAGCAGCCATGTTGGAATAACTCTTGTGCATTCCGATGTATCTACAAGGGCCCATCTGGGGACTTTTCGTCGATGAAGGAGGATCCGAAACTTTTCAGATGGAAAAGGCGACTTCGTTCATTCGTCGTAGCGTTAAAAATGCGAAAGCTTACCAATGAGAGACTGGACAGGTGCTACGGGAAAGGTGCCAGTACGTATATAAATAAATAAATAAATAAAGTTTTTATTCTGGACAAGGCGAGGCCCGCCTTTACAGGCATGATCATTATGACAACAGTGCGCGGTCAAGAATATGCAAGAATACGTTATGTTTGCCGTACCAGTGTATGTTTATGTAGGGGTATGTAATTATGTAGCTGTGTGTGTGTGGGTGTGTAACTGTGAGGTTCCTGTTTGTAACTATGCTGCTCTACTTTTCACTCTCATATCGTCGGCAATGCTCGAGTAGAAGATGGATGTCCGTGCGTTGGAAAGGAGTATTCGGATACCCACGGGGCAGTGACTTTATTTTGTGGCGAGTCACGACCGCCACGTCACAGTTTTGTTACGCAGACATTTGTGGCTTTTTATAGGGAGAACGCTTGCCAGGCGAAAACCCACCACGTCCTGGAACACTGCCGCCGAACTATTTGCTGGAACGGGTCAAACCCGAACCACCCAGCTGGCACCACGAGGAGGTTGCTCGGCTAGCCAGCGTGCATAGTATGCCATCGAACGTTCCTGGAAAGTGTTGCGTATCCGCCTGATGTATATATTTTAACAGGTACCGGTGTTACAATTGCTTTGTGCGGTTCTCAGCGGTTTGTAAGGGAATGTCACGAAGTTGGAAACGCCTGTCTGGCATTCGCACAGTTGTCATGTGGGGAAGCTTTGGCTGTATAATATAATCAGCGGCTAACAGCTGATCATGAAAGCATGGTGCTTAACTTAATATAGACGTTTCGTCGCACGCAGAAGGTGCGTGTATTTGTGGGTCTTCAATGTAGCGTTCCTTAAACAAGGCGGAGGTTACGCAGCTGTTGCAAAGAAATGGTCAGGAAACTGACTAGATTATGTAACGTCCCAGTTAACGCCCCAAACCCTCAACCGCGCTTACTTCGTGTAGCCCTATCCCCCCGGAGGAACGCAACGCGCTGTTGCGGTTTGCCTTCCATTTAAAGGGTACTAATTTTAGCGTTCAGCCGGACCTTCCATTAACTGAAAGGCTGAAGCTAAAAGTGGCAATCAAAGACCTCACTACCAGGCGCGCGGCCGGTGAACTAGGTCTCCGGTTGGTGCTTATTCAGGTGGTCAGCCGGCGGTCTGTTTCCGCCCTACCAGTGCCAGTACTAGTAGCGCACGACCCGGGGCTGGACATTACGAGTATCTGCAGGTAGTGCTAAGCAATGTGCGCAGCCTGAGGAATGAGAGGTGCGTGATGGATCTGCATGTAGATGGGTCTCATCCTCATCTACTTGCATTCACTGAAACTTGGCTGTCTCGGGACACCACGGATGGTGACGCACTATTTAGATGTGATCGTTTCATTGACCGACAAGGCGAGGCCGCTGCGCTTGACGTTAGGTGTGAACTTGACGTTTCACGTACCTATATGTTTTAGTCGGCAGCTAAAATAGCCGAAGCTCTGTCGATTGTGATTTGCAATTCTTCAGCTCAACTTGCAATTGTCCTTATGAATAGATGCCCTGGGATTTCATCCAAAGAGGTGCTTGACTTTATTTGCTCCCAATCAGCAAACAAGTGTTTGATGCAGGCGGATTTCAATCTACCAGACGTTTGCTGAGCAGATATTAATGGAAACCCGGCGGAAGGTATCTTTGGTGCCATCTACTTGAGCTTACGCTACAAGTACCGTTGCATCAGTTCGTAGACTTTGTAGCCACCCAAAAGCTATTTCTTATCTTACTCAATCATACAATATTTCTTTTGGTCTTAATGCCGACTACGATTTCGACACCACACAAGCGCAGCTAGTCTATGGTTGCACGCTGCGGTTGCTCGGACAGGTAGTAGCAACAGCCTCGACGAATTCCACGTTTGACTACGGTAGTTGCACGGATCTACTGGCTCACCAGATGCGTGAGATACGTCCACCCGCTCCTTGAGCGCAGAACACACCAGTGTACGTGCCCTAGAATCTGTCTACTTGTTCACACGTCCTTCTTTGAGCAGACGGGGTATGACAGCCTCTTCAGTCGCCGTACATAGGACCTTTCAAGGCGCTACACGGTTCGAGTAAGGCGTACACAAATGACCGCGGTTGTCAACGCAAAGTCGTCACCATCGACCGTCTAAAGCCCGCCTTTATGGAGGAAACTACCTCGCCTACTTCGTCTAGTAGTGCTTCGTGCGACCTCACAACTCACCGCACCAGTTTTCCGCATGCTAATGAAGTCTAACCAAACCAGGATCACGGTCAACAAGCGTCAGTCGTCCCGCCATCTCCCGAACCTATCCGCCGCCTCCCACGACCAATCGCCGTAGTCGGGGGCGCGTAAGCCCGTCCGTTCCTCCAACTATGTACAGTGTAAATACGTTCAGCTTTGTAGATATTGTATATACTTGCCCTATTTTTGGTCGACTAACGTTTTGGAAACAAACAAAATGCCCAAAACCTCCGAAAATCCATTTTCTAAAATGTATTCAAAAGAAAACAAAAAATTTAAACACGCAGATTATTCGTTCGTTCTTTCTAGCTTTCTCTGCGCGTGTTCTTTTCTACTTTCTCGTCTCTGAACGTTGCAACCCTCTCCTTCGATCGATTGGGCAACACGAGAAATGTTTTCGAGTATCCTGACGCGAACGATGGTCGCTTCACCGCAGGCCGAGTTTCGCTTCTCCGCGGGACCAGTGTGGCTTCCTCGCGGGACGAGAGAAGCTTCTCCGCGGGACGAGGGCCGTTGCTACGTGGGGCCATGGTCGTTTCTTCATGGGACGAGGGTTGTTTTGGCGCAGATCGTAGTGCCGCGGGGAGAGACAACTCCCAAGCGCACCGTTAGGAAGCAGCGGAGGTTGAGGTCCCGTCGGCCTTTATCTGGACTAGCTAGTTTTCTCTAGTCCGACAAGCCCGCCGCAACAGCTCGCCGAAAAGCACCCTCCCTTGCAATCAATAAATACTAGAGAGCGGAAGGTACAGCGGATCCTATTTGTCGGCTACATCTATTTCCGAACACGAACAGA